AAAACATATGGAATTTTGATATAGAATCATTAATTACATATACAAACCTTATAAAAAACGTATCATTTCCTTATTTCAATTTCTTATAGGATACATAGGACCCTGAACTATATACTAATAGAACTCACAAATGTAGTATGAACACGTAATTAAAATTATATTGTATGGTATAACTCAGTCAATATTAATGCTAGAAAGATGAAATTACTACCATTAGATTTCTCGACCATTAGATTCCTTTCATTCTTTCTCGTTGGATTTTTTTCAAGAATTTTTACTTAAAAAAAGTGTCTGTTCAATAACAGCCGCAGCTTAGCTTATAAAACAAACAAAAAAACTCTACCTTTCAAAAATATTCCTCACTTTGTTCCTTACACTCCTATCTATATAAAATTTTTCGAAATAGTCTAAACAGTGTTATTTTTTATTAAAATATTTTTTCCTTCACTTCTTTTCGAAAAATTTTTTTCTGTTTTTCTGTTTTTCTTTTTTGTCTACTAAAAAGTGGACATCAAGAGGTATTTCAACAAACAATCATGATCGACATACTTTGGATAAACAAATCTCATGTGATGACATCTTTTCCCTTTTTAAATAATATACTCTCTTTTAATTAGCCTCTACCTTTTTGCAGATTCTCTGTCATCGAAGATCACGTGCAAATTTAGTGTGAATTATTACTTTGTTTCTCCATAAGGTCTTCTATATGGTGTGATGGTAGTTACCACTTGGTTTGTATTTTATGGGCCTACTGTAGTTTTAAATGAAACTTTGGGTGGTTATTGCCATTTGCTTACTCAGTATAAGTTTACTTCGTTTAGATCCGTTCCTTCTTGGTAACCAGGTAGAGGGTATAGGTTACTATCTGTTGATTCATCTAGAGTTCTCGTAGTGGATTCCATATGATATTTTTTCTGTACTTATAAATCTATAAATATGAAGAGCCTCTGTTTGAACCTTTCTTTAAACGCACTTTCTTTAGTCGGGTAGTCATTATATCCAGAATTAACCGGACATTTAGATTTTTATAGAGTTGTGTTTGTCTTTTTTAATAATTTCTATTTGTACCTATTTTTTTTCTTAGAAGGGTTGTTAGTTTTTAAATTTTATTTAGAAGTTGGGATCGAAGGGCATTTAGAAATTACATTGCTGTATTGACAACCTCATTTGAATTTCTTGTTGAAGACTTAATTATTAGATGTGAATTTTTTGGTTAGGTCAGAAAGGGATTCTGGTGATTAGTCAATCTAAATGGGTTTGAGCTTTTATTAGCAATAGGATTACGTGAGATAGTCATTAGTTTAGTTTTTTATCTACTTTGTGTTTTTTCTTTGTAAATTTTATTTAGTATACAATATAAATTTAATAAACTTAATGGCAGTATTGCATTGTTAAAAACAAAAAAAAACCATTAGATTTTTCTCAGTTAAACAAATCCAATGGTATAAATTTCATTAAATTTGAATCACTGGTTATTGAGATAATGAGATATGTAGAATAAGTAAATTTGTAAAAATAAGCAACTTTTGGCAAAGTTTACATATAAACTCTACGCAAACTTAAATGTGAGTTATATTAGTATAGTTCAGGTTTTGAGTACATTGGATTCTAATTTATCTTTATTTGAATTTTGGTAACATCCTGGATATGCTGTATAAGTATATTGCTTTTTTGAAGGAGATTGGGGATCATGTAATAAATTTTGTCTATAGTAATAGTGAAAGAGAGCAAGATATAGTTGGGCAAGGATTTTAATTGATCGTCTTATAAGTATTTGTTGATAAGTATTGTCCTAGTAAGTAGTTCAATTTATCCTTTTCTAATTTTAATCTAGAGTAAAAACAACAAATTCTGATAAATGTGAAATGTTGAATGCAAATTATGGTAATAGTCTATTAGTATGAACTGAATTATCAATGACTTTTTGTTGTAATCTGAGATATCAGTTTGGAAGTTTACTAATTTGCAAGAGAGATCCAAAAGTTTTGTGTTTGAGGTCACTGTATGGTATGGAATAAAGGACTTTATTAACTATTAGTTATTCAAGATACATAATGTGACGAGAAATTAATAATTTTAAATCCTGATTATTAATCAGAATAATATTAGATAAAGGAGTTTGACTGCCTTTAATATGAAATTCATCATTTGTTGGTTGAAAAAATTTAGATTCAAATGTTGCAAGTTGTTTAAGAGAGATTCTAAAAAACTATAACTTTTGGATGGGATATTCGTTGAGTTCCAAGAGATTAGTGGATTGTCATGCAAATGATGTTTAAATTGCACTTGTCTAAAATGAATTTTGAAAGTAGTAGCAGTAAGGTTATTCTGATTAATTAGTTTAATGAAGTGATCATATTTTGCTTGTATTTGAATATTGTAAAACTCTCTATAAGTATAAGTTAAATTATGTCTAAAAATACTGTTTGGTAGATATTTATTCATTCTAAGTTTATGTTTAATAACAGATCTAATTAGTGCATATAGTTTGTTACACTCAGCTTTAGAAAGAAATGTTAACTATGATCGATATTATAATCTTGGAATAAGAACAGCATTGTTGAGATATAAAACCATTTTGTTAATCATAGGTTTAAATTTAATTTTGAGAATAAAGTTATCAATGATATCTTTTAATTGATTGATAATAAATTTTTTGTTATTATCGATACTGATCCAAACTCCTAAATATCTAACCGATTCAGATCTAAAATAAATTGAAACACTGATTGATTTTCTAGTGGTAGATAAATTAAGATTGATATTGTGATTTTGATTTAGTAATGTTGAAATTACGAAAGATTTTTTTAAGTTGACTTGAATGTCATTTAATTGATAGAAAGTATCAGCTATATTAATAATCTGCTCTAGGTTAGAAGAGTTATTTGAAATCCAAGTAGTATTATCCATATATGCAGTAGTAGCAATGTTAATAGAGTCTGATGTTGAAGTGGAAGCATTTAGATCAGGAAACCAAGTTTATGACAAGTTGTATCCTAGATTCGATTGTTAGATTTTGTATAATAATAGATCATAATAAATGATCCATAAGAGTGGGAAAATAATTTCATCTTGATTGATACTGACTAATACATCATATTCAGATGATAATCCATGTTATGTGTAAACCCTATTTTTTCTATTCAAAAAAAGATTGGTGATGATATTAATGAATTTTGAGAGAATTTTCAAACAAGACATAGCTTTTTATAATATGTAAATGTTCACTCTATCATAGGTTTTAAACATATCTTGAAAGATTTTGCGTAGAATCATGATTATTCAAAAGTTTATTTCTTCTGATATCAAATCTAGAAGATTTCAGGATATTGTTAACTATATAAAGCAGATCGATAGTCGAATTGTGAGGAAGGCCAGCAAAGTTTAATCCTTTTAAAATGTTAAATTCAATGCATATTTTAGATAGTTGATTCATTAGGAATTTGACATAAATTATTCTGGCTGTTTCTAATAAAATAATTGGCCTAGTATTATTAAGATCACATTACCATAGCTTGGATTTAGGAATAGAATAAATGTAAGCTAGTTTCCACCCTGTAGGAATGTCTTGCAAAATTGTACAAAGGTGAAAGATTTTGAAGAGCAATTTAAAAGCATCAGTATTAAAATGTTTGATGAGTTCATAAGAATGTTGGCATAAGAAATTCTTTTTCTTTGCAATAAAGTTTCAATTAAAGTATTTAAAGTATTATTTATTCAAATTATTGTCCAATTAAAAAAATATATATGATGAATTACGTGATTGGGATCGTCCAATGAAAAATATATAATGAGTCACGTGATATGTATTGTATAATTAATTTGAAAATTTTTCATCTTTAAAATTTTTTTTAATTTTAAATACGAATACGAATGACAATAATTAATGTTGTTGCGGTTTTAGATGACTTATATCCCGGTAAATAAACTTTTTTTAAAGCTATCTAATAGCTTTAATGAACACCCTTTTTCTAAGGAAAATAAATAGATAAATTTTTTAATTTCAGAATATTTTAGAACACCTAAACCATGCATTTGGTTTCCTCGTTCATGGTGCATTAAATCCAAACTCCCTTCCAATGCTGTTATCAGTCTTGTTTCTGAATCAAATTATGCAAAATGTTTTGCAACTATTAAATTATATTCTAAATATTCAGAATTATTTCGTGATAGAAAAGAATTTCCAGAAAAATTAGAATTTAATTTGCCTACAGTCGAAGCCGGAAATAGTAATATTCTTAATGCTGATAATAATGAAATGACACAAGTTGTCATTTCTAGATTATTGGCTATTAGCTTGAATATTTGTGAAATATCGGAAAATTTAAGCGATTTAAAATTTCCAATACAATTGAGGTTTGAAGAACAGGTAATGTAACTTATAATATGTTATAACGAAAATTTCATGATAATCGACTTAACTTTTTTTTTTTTTTTCAATAATTTTCTTAACTTAGATAAAAAATGTTCCAATTGCTACACGTGTTATTTTATACCCTTTTTCATCCAACCATAATCTATTAAAACCTAAATACTCTTTTAATGATTTAGAAGAATCACTGTTCAGGAGAATTCATTTGGGCTCAATTGTTTCTCCTAACGATTGGATATGTCATCATGGGTGTAATGGAATTCAATATTTTAAAATTTTTCAGCAGTTTATAAACGATGTTTCACTTTCTCAAAATAATCCATCGTTAAATATTTCAAAAAAAGAATTTGTTGCGAGAATTTCCGAAAGGACGAGAATTGAATTCATTAGGCACCAAGGAAGAGATTATGATCTTTTAAATAATTCATTAGCTAATTTGAAATTTCAAGAGAAATCTCAATGGATGGATAAAGTAATTAAAAAGTTTGGTGGATTGGATGAACTTATTTTAGAAATTATCGAACAAATCCATCTATTTGTTGTCACTGCGATGAATAACGAATATGGAAAAAGTGTTAAAAGGAGCAAAGGAATTTTATTAACTGGAAAACCTGGATCTGGGAAAACTGCTTTGGCTTTACGTTTATCAGGTATAGATTTTAGAAATCAATGTTTTAGCAATCTTGATTCGTTATTGATCATATTTTATTTAGAATCTTCCGGTTTACCATTTACTGTTATAAATTGTCCAGATATTTTCAAGACAGGTATATAAATAGTTGTAAAAAAAAAATTTTTTTATGGGATCAAATAAGTAAACTTTATATTATATTAGGTGAGGGCGAAGGAGAAAATGAACTTTGTTCAATATTTGAATCGATGATGCGTTATCGTGTATCCATAGTTGTTATGGATGAGATTGATATGATTGCGGATAAATTAGCAAGCGTTCGTCCAGGTAGAGCATATAAATTATCGTTTCTTTATTAAATAAATTACTGTAATATTGAAAATATCATTTTAGGTGTCGAGTCAAAAGTGTATTCAATGTTACTAAAACTCATCGATTCAATAAATGAGAATATTTGGCAAGATTCGTTTAAAGGACAAATATTTGTTATTGGTAAGAAGACAATTATTTAAGAACAAAAAAATCTTAAGTTTTTTCTTTGGAACTTAAATATTATTTTTAAATTTTTTTATTAATTAATTATAAAAGGTTTAACAACCAGATTGCACGTTGTGAATAATGCTTTGTATCGTCCCGGAAGGCTTGATAAAATATATGAGCTTAACATCAAAAAATCTGAACAAATGCTGCAAATTCTTAAAATTATGACCAAAAGTAAGAAAGTATATTTCATTAATACCGAATATAATCGTTCTCAAGAATTATAGAAAGTTTTATTATTTAATTCAGAAATTCCATCTGCAGTGGAAGAGAGAGATTTGATCTTGGAGAGAGTAAGCCGATCGACTCACGGGTTTGTGGCTGCGGATTTACAATGTTTATGCACACATGTTGCAATGGAACTTTTACATGAGGTTTATTTATTAAAAAAAAAGTTATCTCGGATAGGGTTTCTTATTTGAATTTGTATTTAACGGATTCATTATTCAAGAACAAAGGTCCTTCAGGTGCTTTTTTTACATTGAAACATTTCGAAAAAGCACTTAAAGTTGTAAAACCATCGAATTTGAACGAATTTCAGACAAAGGTAAATTTATATGATTTTATTTATTATCTCTGAGAGAATTCTGACAATATTTTTTAACATTATGACTTTAGACTCCTGATATTAAATTTTCTGACATCTTTGGGATTGATGATATTATAGATAATCTAAAGGTAATATTTTAACAATAAGTTACTTATTTTAGAGTCGATAATTTAACAAATATTTTATTTATAATTTTAGATGACTATCATTGAACCACTCAACAATCCCAAAGAATTCTTACAATTCGGAATTTCTCCTCCAAGAGGAATTCTTATTTATGGTCCACCGGGTGTTGGAAAGACAATGCTTTGCAGTGCTATAGCTGCGGAGACAGGAATTAATTTCATGCTCGTAGAGGTATTTGTTCCTTTTTATTTGTGAGGTAGTCCAATTCTAGTTGTTCTTTTTTCTTCAAAAATCCCAAAATTTGTATTTGTAGATACAACAAATAATTATTTAATAATCTTGTTTTGCTAAGTTAGAGCTCACAAATTAGATCAAAAATAATTGGAGAATCTGAAAATAATATTGCAAATATGTTTGCTCAAGCTAAAGCAAATTCTCCTTGCGTTTTGTTTATTGATCAGGTAATTTTGGGTTAAAAATTGTAACTTAGATTGATGTATATATATTCTTTTTGTCACAATATATAATTGAGAAAAAAAAACTTTTACCTGTTCAGATTGATGTTTTGGCCCCAGTTCGAGCTAGTAATATGACTTCGGAAAATACCGGCGAAAGAATACTAACCAGTTTATTAACAGGTAATTTCAACATTTTTAATATATACACTTGTTATTTAAATAATTATAAATCTATTTATACATAATAGAAATGGATGGTGTTTTTACTCCAAAACATAGTCAAGGACCTGAAGTTGAAGTTCTTGTCATTGCAGGTATTTAAACTATAACATAAGTTTTTTAAGAAAAGACATGTAGAATATTAAAATATTCTTAATCTCTAGCGACAAATAGACCTGAAATCATTGATTCTGCCTTATTAAGACCTGGAAGACTGGATCAACATATTTATATACCACCACCTACTTTAGAGGTTTTTTTTTGTTTTTTTTTTTTTTTTGTATTTTATATTTCATTACTTATATTATTATTATTATTATTATTGATACTTGGTAATTCATATAATTTTTATATTTTGATTTATTATATTTTGATTTAGCAAAGAAGAAAAATTTTAATCGGAAAATTCCACAAAATTTCTGTCTTATTAACGGAAGAACAAATTAATATATTAATTAATCATACCGACGGTTTTTCTGGTAAGAATACATTTAGTAGTCTTTTTATCATTCACTTTATTTAATATTCCTTAAGTCCATCTATTATAGGAGCAGATTTGGATAATTTATGTAGGGAAGCAGCATTAATAAGCATTAGAGAAAGTTTCAACAATGAAATGGTTGGTTTTATTTTAGTTTTTATTTTTGTTTTTCAAAAATTTATATTAACTAGAAATTTACATAGGTTACATTTGATCATTTTATGAAAGCAGAATCTGTTTGTAAAGCTTCTTTATTAAATTTTAAATCAACCTATTATTTTGAAGAATAATATTAGATAATTTATTTCTTAAATGATTATGTATATTTTATATATAAACAAAAAACATATTCTTAAATACAACTAAAAAAAAATGATTTTAAATTCAAATCATATAATGAGAGTCTTTTAACTAAATCTTTTTCTCAAATTTTTTTTTAATAAATTGGTTTTTATTTTTTTTCTAAATTTAAAGAAAAAGCTTAATTGAAAGTTGGAAGAGATTGAAAAAATTTAAACAATTGCAATTCATAAATAAATAATTATATTATATTAATCATCAGAATATTTATTATTATTTTAGTTAAAGTTTTATAAATAAAAGAATAAATAGATATCTGATCAGATTGGATCAGATATAAATTAATTTGAATTAAATATATATTGACTAATCTGATTAAAAAGAAAATTTTTTGTTTTATTATATTTATTCTAAATGAAAATAATTCAATATTAATTTTATCATTAATATAATTAATATGAAATTAAACATTATTAGTTTTATTTTACAAATTTTTAAAAAAGTTGAATAATAATTATTAAATATTTTATATTTTATTATTTTTATAAAATATTTAAAATTTTATTATAATAAATATAATAAATTTTTTTTAAAAAACAAATGGGTTTAAATTCCTATTTATTAATTGTATAATTTAAAATTACAGTTATAATATAAATCTATAATTCTGAAAATCAGATAAATATTAATATGATACAACTGGCTTAGTCACATCCAATGATTTTAAATGATTTTAAAATGTAAAGAAATTTTATTGAATCATATGACCACTAAAAAAAAACGTTATCAGATAGCATTTAATATAGTCTTTAAAGTAATGTATTTGTTTTATTCATTTTATTATAAAAAATTTTTTTAGTTAGATTTTTTTAATGCTAATTTTAATAATAATAGAAAAATTTTTAGCACTACTGGTATTAGGTAAATACAATATGATTGGTGTGTATTATCACATGACCATATATAATTGAATAAAAAAAAGGTTTTTTTCTTACAAGTCTCTAAATTCTTCTAAAACAGTTGCAGAAACCTACGATAAGACCGGTACCGCTTGACTGCAAAGACAGCTGCCTTACCTGAAAGCCCAAGTTCATAAGCACTTATATAGTGTATGAAACGACATGAGAACTGACGAATTTTTGTCAGACTAATTGAATCTAATACATACGATACAACTTCTTTTAAGTGCATAAACGAATAATTGCAGTGAAGACGTGAGTATCACTTCACTTCCGCTCAAAGTATTCAATATAATTGAATTCACAATGAAACTTCGGGTAGAACATGCACATATGTCCTGTTTCCTTAATAACCTAAAAGATAAATATTTAAAGAAATTTAGTTATATTTTATTTTAAATAATGAATATTAATTGCAACTTACCTCTTGTATGTGTATCTTTTGTGATGCAAAGTCAGGTTAGGCAATAAGAATGTGTGTTATGTAACAATCCTGTTTAGTTAGATCAAAATTATATTGTATATAAGTATTATATTTTCTTTTTAAACCTGGTATTCACAAATTACGTTTCTCAAGAATCCGCTGGATACCTTTAGGTTTGATTACACCATCAACATTCATAAATGTCATGATATGATGTGAGCCATCGGGTATTTTACCATTATGGAGAAGTGGCTGTTTTCCACTATCTTTCATGTTCATTCCTGAAACTATTAATGCATCTTCAGCAAATGCATTGTGGTTGCAATTATTATTAAACATGAACAGTGTAACTTTTTTCAGGTAAATACGTTCAAATATCAGGATAGCTCATTCTTTTACCTGCTTAATAACATCTTTATTTATTTATCAGCCATCGCAATTCGTACCGGAATATATTGTGATGCAAGCTTCAGTATATATAAGCCGCTCATCATCAGAAAGTAAACTGTTAGTAGAATAATCTTTCCTGAAAGCCAAAGTCGTCTCACAAAGAAAATCACTTACATGAATGCTAAGACCTTGCTACTTACGATAAAGTTGACTCTTATCTGCTAGACCTCAAGCCTTAACAACATCATTATAAGACTGATTCATCATAGGTGATAGAAACGATCTCAGGATGCTATACAGGAGTTCAGGTGAAATAATTTGATTTAAATTCTCACCTTCGTAGGTAGCTATTCGCTTTTGTAATTCTGCCAATTGTTTCAAAAATCGATTTCTGTCCTCTACTACATCTTCACGCTCATGACCATCAAAATAAATATTTTTTGAGTAGTCTTTATATTCTCAGATGAGTATGTACAGCCATTCATGTGCAGTTGTATATGAAATACTCATTTTTTCTTCTATCTTAAGGGTAGGGATAATCTCATCTTCAATGAATTTTACGAAATCAGCAATATTTAATTTGAACTTAAATGTGCATAAATATTCAGTAACACACAACTTAAGGTCCTCAATAAGGAGTAAAGATCTGACTTTTGTATGGTAACCACATTTAGACATAATAATTATACCATTATTAAACCATTGGTTTGCCAAAAAACAAATAAGCTGTGCTTGCTATAGACTCTTATTCAAACTCTGAGCAAGAAAGTTACTTGCTTCTATTTTGGTAAATCCTTGATCCTGAACTAGATGAAGGAATTGACTTACCATTCGAAGCTGCAAATCATCTTTCTTTGTTCTTAATAATAGATCCAAGGTTTATAATATGAATTCCTTATCATTGTTGCTGCTATCATAAATATTATCAAGTATGAAGTCATCATTATCTGTATTGGGTTCAATAACTTTGTTTATTGAAAATATAACAGGTATCTTTTTAGAACCCAAAGCCGCCTTTCGCAAATTTGCTTTCTTATTACACAATGTTGATTATGCATTACCTTTATATATTAGCTCATGTGATTTTTTAGCCCATGCATGTGATCCTTTAGCATTTTTAACCAACTCTTTTAATGTATTTTTTTGTAATACTTGCAATGATTATATAATTTCATCAATATCAAAGCGTGTTTCTTTACCTTCCATCCAAAAGGTATTAAATTGTGATTCATCAATCATATCTGGTTCAGCATCTGATAGCTTTATTGTATAGTGATAAAAGTATTTCTTTAGAACTTTTCACTTGTTTTCAATGCTTTCTGATAATATCACGAAATTGTCTTTTACGTTTATTTGGTTTTGGCATTGAAATTCTGTTAAGCTAAAGAAACTAAAAAATGAAAAAAAATTATGTTTAAAACTATTACGAAAATATTGTCACGAATTGGCAATTTATAATTTGCACATGACTTTAACAAAATATGTGAATTTAAATCATGTGATATAATTCTGACCAGTAAAATCGCGATTTATATATGAAAATGATCGACATAAATTTCAGAGGTAGCTTAGTCATTTGATATGACTAAGCCATTTGCATCATATAATTATAAAATATGGATTATAATTAATTATAAATTTATTATTATTGATTTAATTATAAAAATTATATTTAAATATTTTTAAATCTACTAAACAACTTAATTTTAAACAATCAAAATGATTTTTTTTAATCATAAATATTCAAATTACTTTATGAAAATAGGGTATTTAGTAAATCTAATCTTGATTAATAATTAATTAGTTTGTTTAATTAATCAATCATAAGACTTATGTTATAAGAAATTTAAATGAAAATATAATACATTTTTTATAATTTTGTATATATAACTAATGATTTTATATTATAATTTATATATTTTATAATGATTTATTTTTTATAAATTTTAGAAAAAGGATATGACATTTTGTCTTAGTTGGTAATAACTGAGACACTATTGTAGGTTATACTATGATAGATCCTAGTTCAGCTTCTAACTAAAGTAAATAATAATAATTATTTACAGAATGAATTTTACAGAATGCGTATAAACCATATATGTTAAAGATTATGAATTTGTAGAATATGATAACTATAAAATTATCTATATAGTGTGATGGTTATACATAAAGTCAAAATGTATCATTTCAGATATCCGAAATAGTCGAAATGGTCAAAATCATTTCGACCATTGAAGGTGAAAGTCGCGAAATAGTTGAAATGACGTTATATCACATGATTTTTCATATTGAGAAAAAATAATAAACAAAAAAATGTACGATCTCAGTCAATATTGCACTGATTCATATGAAACAACTACCATTCGATTCCTTGTGACTTGACAGATCTAATGAGCTAACATTCATTGATTTGGATCATTCAATCGCGAGATAATCGCAATTGTATTTTCGGCTGAAATTATGAATCAATAAATTCTACTTTAAATAAAGAAGTCTGAATTTTGAAATACGATCGCTAATATCTCGAGATGGGCCGATCCAAAATCAAT